GAGGTTAATTGTGCAGAGTCACACAGTCATGAAGTTAAACACAAAAGCCCAAAGCCCTGGGGCTTGGATGTAGGTCTCCAGAGCCTGAGTGCTTCAACCTGTCCACTCTGCCATCTCTTCTCATTGCTCTCCCTTCCAGCCTCTGGCCCAGGGTGCAAATGTGATCTTGAGAAACCATGTGTATATGTGGGAGTTTGGAGTACTGGCGATGGGGGATGGGACAAAGGATGGGCAATGGGACCATCCCTATGTATGCCATATGCAGTAGTGAGTTCAACAGCCGATTCTTCAGGGGGAAAATCTAATTTACAGCATTTACCAGCGGAAGTGGTGTACATACTCTCACTGCGACTGATTTCAAGCTACTAAGGCTGGCGATTCAAACCCGCCCAGTAGTACAGTGGAAGATAGGCCTGGTGATCTGCTTCTGTTAAGATTATAGCCAAGAAAACCCTATGGAGTACAGTTCTACTCTATAACATGGGGTCGCGTAAGTCAGAATCAACTCAATGGCAACTCACAACAACAACATGATGTTACCAAATGCCAAGGTGGGAGGAGATGAAGCATAAGTAGTGTTTCCACTACACAGATGCAATAGACGTAAGTAACCTCGAGAGCATAGATAATAGTGAGACGTAGTAAAACAATTAGGAAGTGAAAAGTATTTATTACCTTTGCTTCTAATGTAATTTATTTAATTTTAAGTTTAAGTTTTAATGATGGCCATGCTTAAACCTGGCTTGTAAAACTCCTGAAATTTGAGCCAGCTCCAACATACCACTGCAATATGGTGGTGTCGTTGAGTGCTATTGGGTCAATTTTCGACTCATTGCAACCCCATGTGAGAGAGTAGAGCTGCCCCATAGGCTTTTCTAAGCTGTAATCTCTTTTTTTTAAAATTGTACTTCAGGTGAAGGTTTACAGAACAAATAGTTTCTCATTAAACAGTCAGTACACATATTGTTTTATGACACTGGTTAACAACCCCATGACATGTCAACCCTCTCCATTCTCGACCTTTTTTTTTTTTTCCTGGTGAAAATATACATAGCCAAAGATACACCATTTCAAAAATTTCTACATGCACAGTTCAGTGACATCAATTACGTTTTTCCTGTTGTGCTGCTATTCTCACTCTAGATGAAGGTTTACAGAACAAAATAGTTTCTCATTAAACAGTACACATATTGCCCTATGACAGTGGTTAACAACCCCACTACATGTCAACAGTGTCCTTACTCAACCCTGGGTTCTCTATCACCAGCTTTTCTGTCCCCTTCTGCCTTCTAGTCCTTGTCCCTGGACTGCTGTGCCTCATTAGTCCCGTTTTGTTTTATGGGGCTGTCCAATCCCCGGCTGAACGGTGAACCTCGGAGATAACTTCACCACTGAGCTAAAAGGGTGTCTGGGGGCCATACTCTCGGGGTTTCTCCAGTCTCTTTCAGGCCAGTAAATCTGGTCTTTTTTGTGTGTGTTAGAATTTTGTTCTACATCCTTCTCCAGCTCTGTCCAGACCCTTCTGTTGTGATCCCAGTCAGAGCAGTCAATGGTGGTAGCCGGGCACCATCTAGCCATACTGGACTCAGTCTGGTGGAGGCCTTGGTAGCTGTGGGCCATTAGTCCTTTGGACTTATCTTTTCCTTGTATCCTGTTCTCTTCATTCTCCCTTGCTCCTGAAGGGGTGAGACCAGTGAAGGATCTTAAATGGCTACTCACAGGCTTTTAAGACCCCAGACAGTACTCACCAAGGCCGAATGTAGAACATTGTCTTTATAAACTGTGTTATGCCCGTTGAGCTAGATGTTCCGTGAGACCATGGTCCCCACAGCCCTCTGCCCAGCAATTCAGTCACTCAGGGAGTTTGGGTATGTCTATGGAGCTTCCATGACCTTTCCTTGTACAAGTTGTGGTGGTTTCCCCAGTATTGTGTACTGTCTCACCCTTCACCAAAGATACCACTTATCTATTGCCTATTTCGTATTTCCCCCCCACCCCTCCCATCCCTTGTAACCAACAAAGATAATTACTTTTTGTGTGTAAACTTTTTCATTTTTTACAACAGAAGTCTCATACAATATTTGTCCTTCTGTGATTGACTTATTTCACTCAGCATGTCTTCCAGTTTCATCCATGTTATGAGATGCTTCACAGATTCATCATTGTTCTTTATCGTTGTGTAGTACTCCATTGTGTGTATGTACCATAGTTTGTTTACCATTCATCTGTTGATGGGCATCTAGGTTGTTTCCGTCTTTTTGCTGTTGTGAACAATGCTGCCATGAGCATGGGTGTGCATATGTCTATTCGAGTGATGGCTCTTATTTCTCTAGGATATATTCCTAGGAGTGAGATTGCTGGATCGAATGGTATTTCTATTTATAGCTTTCCAAGGAAGCGCCATATCATTTTCCAAAATGGTTGTATCATTTTGCATTCCCACCAGCAGTGCGTAAGAGTTTTGATCTCCCCGCAACCTCTCCATTTGTTATTTCCAGCTAGGCTGTAATCTTTATGAGAAGGAGCCCTGATGGTGTAGTGGTTAAGCACTCGGCTGCTAGCCAAAAGGTCAGCGGTTTGAACCCACCAGCCACTCCGTGGGAGAAGGATGTGGCAGTCTGCTTCTGTAAAGATAGCGATCTTGGAAGCCCTATGGGGCAGCTCTGCTCTGTCTTATGGGGTCACTATGAATTGGAATCAACTTGATGGCAGTGGGTTTATTTATTTATTTTGGAGGGTAATCTTTACAGGAGTAGATTGCCAGGTCTTTCTCCTGCAGAGCCACTGGGAGGGTTCAAACTACCAACTTTTAAGTTAGTAGCCGAGGGCTTAACCTTTGCTCCACCAGGGCTCCTTGAAATATGGTATCTATCTGCAGATTAGAAAAAAGTGTCCCTTCTGGGTGGGCACCAACCTGTATCAGGGTGCCCAGGTTAGCCAGTGTAGTGTGGGCTGGAATTAAGCCCCTACTCTTTCCCTCAGCAGGGCATGCTGGTGCAGCCCACAACCGACACAACTGTGCATGATCAGCCTGGGGAGTGTGGGCAGATGCTCTAGGGCAGTGCTGTCCAGTAGAACCTTCTGCAGTGATGGAAGTGTTCTAACCAAAAAAAACCAACCAAACCCATTGCTGTCGAGTCAATTCCAACCCACAGCGACCCTGTAGATCTTCGTTATCCAGTATGGTAGCCACTAGCCAGCGTGGCCACTGAGCATTTGAAATGTGACTAGGGCAACTAAGACACTGAATTTTTAATTTCATTTTATTTCACTTTGGTTAATTTAAATAATAGCCACATGTGACTAGTGCTATTGCATTGGACAGGGCAACTCTACAAAACGTGCAGAGAAGCTGCTGATTACAATGGGGAAGGCAGAGCCCCTGTCTTGGAACTTGTGACCGTTTTCTGCGAGTTAGACAGCTGAGTTCAGGCACAGTCCCAGTCAGAGAAGTCTGAGAGTCCAGAGACCAGGCACTCCGAAGGGCACAGTTTCAATGCAGAGATGAGGCTGGGAGGACTCAGAGGACTCTGTGGGGGGCAGTGGAAGTTGGGGTAAGTGCAGAAGGACACTTGGGCCAGTTTGAAAGTCAAATCTCTAGTTCACACACATGCAAAAAAAACCAAACCAGTGGTCCTTGAGTTGGACTCATGGTAACCTATGTGTGTCAGAGTAGGACTGTGCTCCTTAGGGTTTTTAATGGCTAATTTTTCGGAAGTAGATCACCAGGCCTTTCTTCCAAGGTGCCTCTGGGTGTACTCGAACCTCCAACCTTTTGATTAGCAGCTGAGTGCATTAACAGTTTGCACCACCCAGCGACTCCATCTCTGGGTTAAATGGTGTAAAAAGATTTGTGCTTTTCTCCCCCCTTTGTCCGACTTGACTGAGATCTCCCACCACACTTACTCTGTGTCGTCTAAAGGACCCCCCCCTCCATGGGTGTGGCCTGTGGCCAAGTGGGCTCCACGGGTGTCCCTGCTACTGTGGAAGGAGAAAGGTGGCATGGTTCTGCAGTTGCCCTTGATCCTGTTCCTTGGCTTCAGATGGAGTTGGGGGGCAGACAGGAAGTTTTCTGAGTGATAACAGAGGCCAAGGGACTTTAGCTTTGGAGCTGCAGCTCCCTCCACACCCTTCTTTCTGGGCCTTTTCGGAATTTTTAGGATTAGAAAGAAGTTGTCTGGCTCCTGGGCCTCTAACAGAGACTTGATCTGCGTGTTCCCTGGAGGTCATGTTCCTCCTTGGAATTCCCAGAAGTCAATTTAAACCATCCGCTCATCTCTTCGAAAAGGATGGAGGCTGGGAATGGCTGTTGTGGTCTGCACGCTGCCAAACAGCAGATAAAATGGAAAAACATGTTTGCCTTAGACTTTAGAGTGCAGCAGTTAAGGGCGGGGGCTTTGCTCTTGGCCAGACCTGAGTTCGAGTCCAGTCCTTGGTACTTACTAATTGCATAAGCTTGGCAAATTCTTTAATCCTTCTAAGCCTCAGATTCTTCATCTGGAAGAGGGAACAGGGAGTTATTATAAGGATGAACTTGGACAGCGTGAGCCCCATTTAATAAGCTCGCGGTAAATGTTGTGTTGTTATTGTTGTGTGCTGTCAATTCCGACTCATAGAGACCCTAGAGGACAGAGAAGAACTGCCCCACAGGGCTTCCTAAGCTGTAATCTTTACAGGATTGGATCACTAGGTCTTTTCTTCTGTGGATTGGCTGGGTGGGTTCGAACCACCGACCTTTTGGTTAGCAGCCAAGTGCTTAACCGTTGTGCCACCAGGGCTCCCTTCAGGAAATATTAAGGGACAGTAATTCTTATTACAATTGTTATCGTTTTTAATTGGCTAACCAGATCGTTTCCTCATTTTGGGGGATGCTGTAGATAAACTGTATTTTCTGAGCATGCCAGGTGACTGTTGCTGGGCAACGTGGTGGGGTTTCCCCTAAGGCACTGGCCAAGTCGGCGAGCCTCGTGTTGAGTTACCTCTTGGCCCTCCCGTTCCAGCGCCAGTGGGAGACCCTTTCTGCTCTACGTGGGCCTGGCCCACATGCACGTGCCCTTATCCGTGACCCAGCTGTCAGCCTGCCCACCAGGCCGAAGGCCATACGCTGCAGGTCTCCGGGAGATGGACAGCCTGCTGGGCCAGATCAAGGACAAAGTTGACCGCACAGCAAAAGAAAACACATTGCTCTGGTTTACAGGTAAAGCAGTCAAAACTAGCAGCCTAACTGTGGTCTAATGGATAACTCTGCACATGCTTCCCCCTAGACATGTGTCTGGTCAGCTGAGCCTCTTTAACTGGGCAGGGGGCTTGCTTTGAACTTAGGACCCCGCTAGTATTTGTTGACTTGAATGCTGAGCATCAGTCCACTGGGGCCTCCAAGGCTGAGCCCGTAGGAAAGTTTGCACAGAGAGCCGACTCCCTGCTGGCCCCTCGTGTATTGATTCGGGCTATCTAGGTGTTGCTTTTATTGCTAATGAGTGACTTTGACATTGAGAGGCTGCATAGTCCTCTAGCAGCTTCACCATCCTCTCCAGTAACCAGGTCACATCTTCTGGCTGAGTGGCCTTAGTGGAGCTGAACTAGTGACCTCTTCAAAGGGCTCAAAAGTTTACATGCTTGGCTGCTAACTGAAAGGTTGGGGGTTTGAGTCCACCCAGAGGAGCCTCGGAAGAAAGTCCTGGTGAACTACTTCTGAAAAGTCAGTCATTGAAAACCATAATGGGCACAGTTCTACTCTGACACACATGGAGTCCCCATGAGTCAGAACTGACTAGACAGCAACTGGTTTTCAAAGGGCTCACGCATACGGCTGGGTCTCAGGTCCTTACCTGGGTAAAGAGCAGTAGTTAAAAACACTGTTTTTGGGTCAGGTAGAAACCTGGGTTTGAGTCCTTACTGTACTATTGGGGAAGTTACTTAACCTCTCGAAGGTAGAAAGCCTGGCTCTCAGTTACTTAGCCTATGTCTTGTCATCTGCAAAACTGAGCTAATGATAGAACCTCCTTCATGGCATTGTTGGAGGATTCTCAGATGATGTATGTGAGGCACTGGGTGCATAATAGGTGCTCAGTAAATAGTGATGATGATGATAGTGTGGATGACAGTGGTGATGGGGTTGCTAAAACTGTATACAAAGGCAAGAGACTGCAGATGGGGCTAGCCCGGGGCAGGGAAAGCCAAGGAGAGGCCGGCTCAGATAAAGGGTAGCTCCAGGGTAGGGTCATATTTGTTCTTATGAGTCCTTCTGGCCAGCCCCCTACTGTACTCAAGAACATGGGGCCAGAGAGGGAGAGTCCATGAACCAAGCTCTTGATTATTACGTGTTTTTGCTTGTTTATTTCCAGGTGACAATGGCCCGTGGGCTCAGAAGTGTGAGCTGGCGGGAAGCACAGGTCCCTACACTGGATTATGGCAAACTCGTCAAGGTAAGGGGCTCATCTGGGGTTAAGGGGGTCCCACTGTGGGTGCTGAGCCCAGGCTGCAGCGTGGGATTCTGCCTCTGGGAGGGCCAGGCTGTATCTGGGCCTCAGGGGTATCACTCTGAAACAGGGACAGCGTTGCTCACCTGCCGCTTGCTCCCAGAGAAGAAGGAACAAGTTGGGACAGAGACAAAGTTTCTGTTCAGCCTGGACCATCCCTCTCTCTTGTCTGCCAGGACTCCCCTAAGGGAAGCAGCCCTCTCCTGACAAGCCAGTCTACCAACCTTCCAACAAATGTGCTTTGCTTTTCCTGTTATCCTGCTATTCTTGTTTCTCCTCCTTTTAAAAAGTCATTCCTTCAACCATTAATTCATCACATTTATTTAAGAAATATTTAACGCTCACTTGTGCACTGTGTTTTACATACATTTCTCTGATTCTTACAATAGTGAAAGGTAGGTGGTAATAACTTCATTTACAGATGAGGAAAGAGAGGCTCTGAGAAGATCGATCGGTAACTTGCCTGAGGTCACACAGTTTTTGAGGATGGAGCCAGGCTTTTTACTGAAGTTGACATTGCTGCTCTTGCAGGTGCCTCTGTCTTGACCTAACTGTCCTCCAGCCACCAGCTCGGCTCCCACCTGTTCTGGGATGGCTTCTCCACAAGGACCTCGATTCTGACAGAGCAGCCATGTTGTTACGTGCTGTTGCGTCGATTCTGACTCATAGCGACCCCGTGCAACAGAATAGAACCGCCTCCTAGGGTTTTCTAGGCTGTAATCTTTACAGGAGCAGATTGCCAGGTCTTTCTCCCGCAGAGCCACTGGGTAGGTTTGAACTGCCAACCTTTCGGCTAGCAGCTGAGCTCTTAACGGTTGTGCCACCAGGGCTCCTTGAGAGCAGCCATGTAGGGGGCTAATTGGCAGCATGGACCAAAGGATTGATGCAGCAATTCCTCTTCTAAGTATTTGTTTTAAGTAAATAATGAGCGAGGGGCACGAAGATGGCTGTAAAAGGATGTTCATGCTGTAGGCTTTGATATTTTCAGTAGTTGGACATAACCCCAGTGTCCAGCAAGAGGGGACTGCTTGAAGAAATCATGATACATCCATTCTAAGGAGCCATTCAAATGAGGCATAATTATTGCCTAGGAAGATTTCTATCAGTGAATAAAGCAGGTTACAAAACAGTAAGAAAGGTATGATTTATTATGTAAAAATTAAGTATATATATTCTCAGAAAAAAAGTCTTCAAGAGGCAACAAAAGGTAATAAAAGATTAGTAGCAATTACCTCTGGGTGTGGGAGGGACAGTTTAGGGGTGATTTTCCCACTTTTTTTCCCTCTGTAACAAAATGGTATTATTTGTTTTACAAAAAACTAAAATAAAAATTTTAGAAGGTTCTTGTACCCAAGGGATTCAGAGGTAGGTTAGGCTATTAATTACCCCTTTTGAGGAACGTCTGTGGCAGATTTTTAAATCTGGGACTGGGTCTCCCTGCTGTCCAGCCTCTCAGAGGTATGGCCCCCAGCTGTCTGCAGGTCAGAAGACACAAGCCCCCTTTCGCATTAGTCTGGGAGAACATTTGCAGCTACCTAGAAACTGGAACATTCTTGTGGCTGGTGGAGAGAAGGAAGTGCTGATCCTTCATTTTTGTTTTTCACCTTTAACCTGGAGTCCCCCGTGTCCGCTCCCCTGAGAGCTTTACAAGTGAGCGGCTATAGAATCTCCATGTTTTGTGTCTGGAGATTTGAACTGGGAGACAGGAGAACTGGGTGCCACCTCCCCTCACCTGCTCAGTGACCCTGGGCCGGCGACTTCATTCTTGGGGTGTTGGTGTTTCTCTCTCTCTAAGCGGATTCTTTAGCGCCCTCCCATTCAAGAACACTGTGGCTTATGTTCTGATTCTTGGGGAGAGTTGGATCAGGAGCAGATGCTAGGGAGGCTTGAGGTGGTGATGTGTCTGATGCCTGAAAGCACCCATAGCCTAGAGAAGTCCAGTGTGTCCTGGGAGTGGTTTTGTTTGCATTGTTGTTGTTGCTGTAGAGTCAGTTCTGACTCAACGATGATCCTGTGTGTGCAGAGAAGAACTGTGCTCCACAGAGTTTTCAGTGGCTGTGAGCTTTCAGAAGCAGATCGCCAGGCCTGTCTTCTGAGGCACCTCTGAGTGGGTTCGAACCGCCAACCTTTTGGCTACTAGTGGAGTGCTTAGTTATAGGAGTTTGTGTCACCAGGGATCTTTTTTTGCATTAGCTGATTCATTCCTTCTCTCTGGACCTGGTACACTGCCAGGCTGCCGTCACTGATGCTCAGTTAGGAAGTCTGGAAAAGCCCACAGATCAGCCCTCCAGGGCAAGAGTCCAGAAGTCATGGAGAACAGGGATATAGGGGAGAAGCATCAGCAAGTAAGCTGGTTCCTCCCTGAAGGATGCTCTGGTCCCAAAGATAACATGTTGACCTCCTGTCTGGAGGACCCACTTTAGCTTGTCTGTTCCTCCCAGTAGGCAGTTATGAAGTAGTGAGTTAGGTTTAAGGACTTGGGCAGGGGCCCCATTCTTTGACGGAAGAACTTTTTCCTGTGAGAAATACATTTACTAGCTGGGCAGTCCCTCTCCACCTTTCCTTTCCTTCCTCCCTCCCACAAGCATTCGTATGAGCACCTACTATGAGTCTGGAGCTATGTTCAGTGCTGGGGATACGAAGATCAACAAAGCCCCTGACCTCAAGGAATTACAGTCTACAGCAGTGTTTCTCAGATTTTAACATGGAGGCAGTCCCCTGGGGGTCCCGTTGAAATGTATTTCCAACCCTCTACGTCTCCTGTCTCGTCTCGGGTGGTGATGGAGAATTTGCATCTCCAGCAAGCCCCCAGGTGATGATAACGCGGGTAGTTCTGAGACCACATTTTGAGAACCACCCATCTAGAGTAGCCAAGTCTAGACCATCTGAGTCTGGGTCTAGAACTTTCAAGTATAAACCAGTGATTCTCAGTGTCTCCCCCGGAACAGCAGTATCAGCACCACCTGGGGACCTGTTAGAAATGCAAACTCCAGGGCTTCTCCCCCCGTACCCCATCCCCAAACCTACCGAATCAGACACTGGAGATGGGTCTCAGCAATCTCTATTTTAGCAAGTCTTTCAGATGATTCAGATACAGGTTAAAACTGGAGAACCATCTTTCTAGAGCTGCACTGTTTAATATGGTAGCCACTAGCCACAGGTAACTATAAAAATTAAAATTAATTAAATTTTCAATTAAAAAAAACCATTTCTTTGTCTCACTAGCCACACTTCAAGGGCTCAATAGCTGCACGTGGCCAGTGGCTACCATAATGGATAGTGTAAATTTCCATCATTGCAGAAGGTTTTATTAGACAGTGCTGGGAGCAAACACTTGAACAGGTGATCGTAATACAGGGTAAGAACATTGTGGCTGAGGGGAGCACAAGAACATCTTACCCAGACAGGAAGGGAAGCAGGACAGCTTCGGGAACGTGGCTTGTGGCTTGTGTCTTGAATGAGGAGGAGACAGCAGGGACTTGCAGGGAGGGGACTCTGGGCAAGGGCAGCAGCCTGGGCAAAGTCGAGAAGCCCAGAGAGTTGGCGATGCCCTGGGGAGCTGCCGGGTGTGTCTGCGTGTCTCGAGATTCTGGGGGTCAGGTCAAGAAAAGAGAGACGAGGTTGAAGGGAAGGCAGGCGCCAGAGTTTGAAGGTCTTTTCTTTCAGGCCGATGATTTTGGCCTTCCTTCTAAAGAAATGTGGAATCATGGGAGGATTTTAAGAGCAAGAGTGATGCTCCACTTTCTTTTTTTTTTAATTAAGGTGAAGTTCACAGAACCTAAAATTAACCGTTTTAAAGTAAACAATTCAGCGGCATTTAGTACATTCAGCCTTGTGCCACCACCACCTCTAGTTCCAAAACGTTTTCATTGCCCCAAAGGAAAGCCCTTACCCATGAAGCAGTCACTCCCACTTCCTCCTCCCCCAGCACATTATTCAACTTTAAAAGATCCCTCCAACGTGGGGGTGGGGAGGTGGGGAGAGGGGCAGGTACCAAGCTATTTCCACTGAGCCAAAAATTGTCAATGGGAGAAGCCCGTGACAAAACCTCCAGGAATACCCCCGGGTTCAAGGAATGCCAGAGTTGGCAGACACCTTAGTGATCTTTAGCCCAACCACTCTGGTGGCTAGATGAGGAAACTGAGGCTGAGGAGCAGGCCCTACCCTAGGCCAGTGGAGTGGTAGTGGTGGGGATGCCGCCCCGTCTGACCACTGCTGGCTCCTTCCTCACCCACTTGACTGCTATTACTCACACTTTGTTATACCTGACTGACTACCCAGCCATCTGGAAAGTCCTGTCTTGCTTCTTTGGACCTCAGAATCATTGAGGAAAATGTCTCTAGCCCCTGTGACGGTCTGGACCTTTCTCAGTCTGTGGGAGGCAGAGTGGCAAGGTGGAAAGAGCGAATGGCTTTGGAAGTGCGGACTAGGCTTGATCTCCACTCAGCTCCTTACTCGGCTTGGGAGCCAGTGCTGATCCGTGACTTCTCTGAGCTCAGCCTCCTCCCCTGGAAGTGGGGGTGACAGAACCTCCGCCCTGGACTGTGTGAGAATCAACGAGGATGTAGTCTGCTACTTGGCCTCTGCTAGGCCCGTTAGAGTCAGTCTTCACCCTAGAGGAAACCAGAGGGGCATGCCCCAAGGAGGGAAGAACTGGGAGGGTCAGAAGATACCCTGAAAAAGAATCATCTCGATGGCAACTTTTGCTGCTGTTGTTGTTTGGCCAGCGTATACAGGCAACTTGAAATAACATGTTGTTGTTGTTAGCTGCTGTCCAGTTGGCTCCTGACTCACGGCAGCCCCATGCACTGTCATGATCCATAAGGCTTTCATTGGCTGATTTTTCAGAAGTTGATTGCCAAGCCTTTCTTCCTAGTCCATCTTAGTCTGGAAGCTCCACCGAAACCTGTTCAGCATCATACAGCACGCAAACCTCCACTGACAGA